TCTCAAAACAAGATCAAAAAGACTTTTTGGCTGATATAAGGTTTTAAAACTTGGTTAGGTGGACAGTTTTTGCAGTGTAGTTTAGGCTGGCTGTGGTCTGTGTGGGTAAACTGTCAGAGGGAGACACGTGTCGAATGTGTGAGTCTGACAGAGTGAAGCTGATCTGAATACAAAAGAAAAGAAAACGATGAAGCATCATAAAGACGGAGCTCAGCAATCAAACAACTTTTACAAAACTTCATTGAAATCAGTAAATTTATCTTATCATCTGCATACTTTACTCAACAACTCAGACTGTAAATTCATACAAATACATCAAACTGTTGGACTTCTTAAAACCACACGTCTTTAATGGACGTCACCATTATTGACCTCACTGTTTCTGGACATCATTTAAACACACATTAACAATCAAAATGACAAAACAAATGTGTTGATTTTTTTCTAACTATCTCGTTTTTTTAACCTCTCTTTATGACTTTGCAATGCAAAGAGGCGTAGAGGAAGAAAAAAGTGAAGCATGCATGTCATGTAGGTAAGATGACCACAAACAGCAGAATGAGATCTGAAGCCTGACTATCCTGTAAAAATGACAAAGTCTGATCAGAGTCAGGAATAAACTGCTAAATGCACAGAATCTAGTGGTTTCGTCCAGATTATGAATAAGGAGTTTTGAATTAAAGTTTACATTTTTGTCAGAGGTGTTCCTGACACAGTTAGTCTGGTGTATCTCAGGCACTCTGTGCTCAGTTCTGATCAGGGTTGGGCAACAGGAAGAGACAAACATCTGTCTCTTCTTTCATCAATCACTCCAGCTTCTGTACAGATGTGGAAGTCAGCTGATTGTGCCCCCAAAACTAGTATAAATCATAAGTTTGGGATTACTTTGGTTTTACTCCAGGACAAGAACTAAACAAGGAAGAAACAAGTTCACAGCTGATACTGGGGGCTACAGCCAGCTTTGTGGTGCTGAGAGCAGTTCTCTGGTTCGAACAGTGTCTCTACTGCCACAGTAGGTTAGATTACTTGTGACTTTATTTAGTGCACAAAAAACAAAAGTTGAATAGAAAAAATGTGTTGAAACAACATCAGATTAAAGAGAGCAGGAGGAAAGGCGTTCACTCTGATAACTCTAGTCAGTTCAATGAGGAGTCCCACCTGGCAGTGGCTTCAACTTTCAAGGTCGTAGTGAAGAAACACCGGTCAAAGGACAGGAAGTCCATCTCATTGTTGGATGAACAGTAAATAGGGACATGTAATAAAAGCAATATTTAGGAGGACGTATTAATAAAATAGTTTTCACTGGAAGCTCTTTATTCCACTGCTGCAGTCCTCAGGGACCTGTTACCTTCAGCAGTGGACCAAATGAATCGTTTTGTCCATTGGACCCACCTGGGACTTCAGAGTCACAGGTGTGTTTGGTGATGCAGCAGTAAGTGTCTGCTGCAGCTCCACAGCTCAGCTTCTTTTGGTCTGCTTCTTATAAAAACAAGTTATGAATGAAGCCGACTTAAACATTGCTGTAATTACTGAGATGTATTAAACCTGGATACAAGTTAAAACCACATAAGGGCGCCCTCTTGTGGTTATCTGCAGTAAAACGTTTTAAGTCCCACCTCTCCTTGTCATCTAAAGCAGTGGTTCCCAAATTTGGGGTCCTGAAAAGATTTTCTGAATTAATTACACTAAAAAATTACAACTATCAATATTTTTTGCCTTTGTTGTTATAAAAGAGTAAAGTTAGTGTACGTAAAATGGACAAAACGAGGGTAATAAATAATGTCAATATGCTCTTGTTTATTTGACGTAAAAACAAAGTTCATCAACCAACAAAAAAAACAACAACCCTACAGCTGGGGTCTCAGGTCTCTGCTGCTGGTATTTTGCGGGTCAAAAGCTGAAAAGTTTGGGAACCACTGATCTAAAACAGTGGTTCCCAAACTTTTTATCTTCTGACTCACAAAATATCCATGGCAAAAACTTGTGACCCCAAATATTACTGGTCTGAGTACACAAACTTCATTAATAACCCTAAAAACACAGGCTTTTTGACAATCTAAACAGCTTGTACACAAATATAAATACTTATTTTACTTATTTTGTGTTTTTGTAATAATTATAGGAAAAACATTACATCAGCAATTATTTTATTACCCTTTAAATTGATTTCTGGAGATTATCCAAGGTGCTTCATGACCCATAATTGGGTCCCAAGCCCAACTTTGGGAACCAAAGTGCAGTGGTTCCCAAACTTTTCAGCTTTTGACCCACAAAATAACAGTAGCAGAGACCTGTGCCCCCAACTGTTTCTGGATGATAAACATTTGTATCAGGTCAACTAAACATGGGCATAGTAACAATATTTTATACATTTATCCATTTTAAATATACTAACCTCACTAATTTCTAACAACCAAGGCAAAAATGTAATTAATTCATAAAATCTTTTCAGGACCCCACTTTGGGTCCCGACCCCAACTATGGGAAACACTGATCTAATGGGACCTTTTCCTGGACTGATAAAACTGATTTAAATTCTAGAGGCCCTGTAAAACTATAATGTTTCAGACAAATTATGCCAAATTATGAAAAATATTTTTTAAATCTAAATTACTAAGTTGTAGATTTGATCCATTTGTTAGCATTACAGTATGCACATGACTAAATTCCATCTTCAACATAGATATCTTTAAAATGTTCATAAGTTGTCTAAACGTTATAGTGTGACAGGGCTTTTAAACAGAGGGGGTGGAGTTAGTCATGTTGCTGCATTATTCCATATTTAAAGCCAATAATAGCTATTTTAATTTTAACTACAAAAACCGAATTACATTTCTTTAAAACATTTTTTAAACACTTGGTGCAGCCAGGGGTGCAGAGGGAGTCCGGTCCGGTGGCCTCAGGATTTAATCTCTGCTGTTTGCAGATGATGTGGTTCTGTTGGCGTCATCGCGCCGTGATCTTCAGCTCTCTGGTTCACAGCCGAGTGTGAAGCAGCTGCCATGAGGATCAGCACCTCCAAATCTGAGTCCATGGTCCTCAGTCAGAAAAAGGTGGATTGCTCTCTCCAGGTTGGGGGTGAAGTTCTGCCTCATGTGGAGCAGTTCAAGTATGTTGGGGTTTTGTTCAGGAGTGAGTGAGTGAGTGAGGGAAGACTGGAGCGTGAAATTGATAGAGAGATGATTCCAGCTCCTGCAGTTTTGTGGACTTTGTACTGGTCTGTTGTGGTGAAGAGAAACTGAGCTGTAAGGCACAGCTCTCTGTTTACCAATCAGTCTATGTTCCTACACTCACCGAACTAGATCACGGATACAAGCGGTCAAAATGAGTTATCTCTGCAGGGTGGCTGAACTCTCCCTTAGAGGCAGGGTAAGAAGTTCAGTTATCCTGGAGAGACTCAGAGTAGAGCTGCTGCTCCTCCACATCAAGAGGATCCAGTTGAGGTGGTTCAGGCATCTGGTATGGATGCCTCCTGGACAACTCCCTCAGGAGGTGCTTCAGGCATGTCCAACTGGGAGGAGACCCCTGGGAAGACCAAGGACACACTGGAGAGATTATGTCTCTCGGCTGGCCTGGGAACACCTTGAAGTCCTCCCAGAAGAGCTGGAAGAGGTAGATGAGCAAAGAGAGGTCTGGGCTTCCCTGCTCAAGCTGCTGCCCCCGTGACCTGACTTTGGACAAAGCGGAAGATAATGGATGGATTAAAAAATAAAGTAAAAAACTTCTGTCTTTATAAAACTTCCTCTAACAAACTTAGATAGGTGGTGAATTTGTTCACTGCCCAACCCTGATACCAACTAATGATTAAAATAAAATAAAACTGCTGGATTATTCAGATCAGAGTACAGATTGAGAATAGAGGTACTTGACTTTTCAACATGACTCAGCTGAAATACAAACTGGTTCCATCTCATACAGGGAACCAAGAACCAAATACTACTGACTGTCTCTGAAACTCCAGCAGGTGTTTTGTTTTTGACCAGAATAATGTCTGTAAACACTGGAGGAAAACGTGCCATTGAGTTCTTCTGGTCACAGAAATGTTCCAAAAGCTTTATGCTACTGGTTTGAGGACCGATCGTAAACACTTTCCCTCTTTAGTGAGCTCTCTGGTGAAGCACATGCAGGGCAGAGGAATGGCCTCCTCTCGACGGGCGATGTTGTTGAACTTGCATTTCTTCAGGTGGTCAGCCATGCTGGCGATGTTTGCAAATTTCCACTCAGACACTGTGCCAAAGGCAGTACTGAACCTCCACACCTGGAAAGCAAAAGCAGGAACTTTTTATATTGTAGTTAAAAACAACTGTGGTTGATAGGACTTTATCCTGCTTTGACGTATTTAAAACTTGGACATGAACCAAGATCACTGAATTGAAATGGGGACTTCTCACCTTGTGTGTTATTTGCCATGAAGGAGAGCCATCCTCATGCCGTTTCTTCTCCCACAGCAGGACGACCATGCCGCGCATCTGTAGTAGGCTGGCGCACACATCCCTCATGGTGCGTGACGCTCTGGACAGTTGGCACAGGCTGAAGCTGTCCAGAAAGCTCGCTATGTGCTGCAACACTTCAAAGGGAAGACAGCTGAACTGGTCCCCCTGACAGCCACTGTAGAGAGTCTTTCTTGAGATGCTGTCTCCAGTTTTCAAGGGTAAACCAGGCTGGACCCCAAAGGAACCAAGATGTCTGTCATGGATGATTCGAAAGCCCTGCACAGATGGACAGAACCGCCTCTGAGAGTAGGTGCAGCCATAGTAGGCCAGGGGACAACGCTGCTCCATCCAGCCATTAAGTCCAGCATGGATATCCCCATGAACGTTCTTAAAATGAGACGAGAACTCATCACGTCGGAACAGCTGCCCACACACAAACGTGAACATAGAACGCTGCTTGGTTTGATACCGAGCCACACATTCAAGCACCAGATCCAGCCTGAGTGTGTGGAAAGGGCTGGGGTTAGAAAGCTGTGGACTGGCATGATCACAGGCTGAAGCTGAGGCGATATCACCCACCATGGTATTGGTTGCCAGAATGGCTGAAGGAAAGGAGAACGTCTGAGTACCAAAGTCAATATGATAGCCATCCACAAAGCGGCTGTCTGAGATCCCCCTGCCTCCTGGAGAATCTCCGAGGCAAAACAGCAAAGCTGCAGTGATGAGGTCGATGCCATGGAGACCCATGGGGTCATCCGCAACCTCTAAGTCAGACGTGTCCACTGCTTTGTCCTCCATTTTTGCTCGAAACAAGTAAGGGTCTGACAGCAGAGCCCGTCGTCCATTAAATGTAAACATACTTATTCCTCTAAGCACTTCTACATTCTGGAGTTTACGCTCCAAACACCTGTATCTGAGTTCAGTGGGTAGATGTTGCAAGAAGTTATTCCTTACATGATCAGACAACAGGAATGGCATTGGGGGTGGAGGTGGGGCTTGTTGAGCCACAGGAGGCTCTGGTGCTACATCTGGCATGTAGTTCTGGGGCATCTCTGGCCAGACAAGATGAGGATTATTTATTGGTTCGTTGATCAAGTATTTTTCTTCAAAAAGCAGCTCCACAAACTCACTCTCTTCTGCCCAGTTAGCAGAATGTTCTTCTCTGTCTGTTTCCACGGAACAGTCTACTCCACCTACTGCTCCCAGCTCACACTCTGAATCAGAGTCACAGTCTTGCATTTCTACATTCTTCCCAATCTCAGCGACATACACATTTCCCCCATTCTCTACATTATGGGCCACCCCATTCTTAGTCTTTTCACCATTTAGATTTTCAACAAGTACATTAATGTTGTTAGAGTTAGTTAAAACATCTAAGGCAGCAGCTAAACTTCTGCTGGTTTCTTCTGAACACAAGCCGCTGTACAGTTTCTCCTCCATTTCTACCGCTTCACTGCCCAACTCATTTTCTGACAAACCAGACGCCATGGCCATTTTGTCACTTTTATCGACTTCTTTGTCTCCATTTGTTGACACAGTGGTTGCAACTTTCAGGGACTCTAACAGCATCCTCTGATCCTGCAAAGCCAAAGCCATATCTAGCTGCTCAACCTCATCAAAGTCTTTGCTCAGGTTTTCGTAGGACTTGCGATCAGCGTAGCTCACGGGCCAGCGGTTCCACTCCATCGTACAACATACTATACTTGCAGGGCACGTCTCCAGATGTTTGGCCATCTTGATTCTTGGGATGGTGAAGGGACAGCCAAACCCACTGTTCAGGCATGGCAGTCGCTCATATGGACACAGCAGACGGTGTTCTTCCAGCTTGCACGAATGAAAAACTGCCCCACAGACTAGAGGACAGCCAATAAGATCACAGGACAGACCCGGCTCTGGTCTTGCCATGCATCGTCTGTTGATGCATTTCAGGCAGTGGGGGTGCAGGTTCTCCATGTTGGCTGTGTCCGAGGAAAGCAGTCAAATCTTCAACCCTGTAAAAAAACAAACAAGTTGTGTTGTAAACTAAAAGTGAAAAATAAAACACAAAGTCTAATGATGGTATTGTCACGGCCGCTTACTAAATGTTTATTTAGATCTGTTACCATTAGTGCTGACTACGGGTGTAAGAAAATATTGATACACTGAAATATCGCGATACTTCATTTCCTGATATTGTACTGATTCTCTAAAGCCCTGTATCTATTTTAATGAAGGTTCAAAATGTAAACTTTAATCCCAACGGTTCATTTTTGTGTTGTAGTTTAGCGCATATTTTGTGTCCATGAAAAAACTGTTACAGAAAATATTACAATATTAAAGAACTGTTCTTGTTAATTTGATGAAAACATTTTAAATGTCCAGTGCACTCACATCAGAATAACTTTTAGATTTGTTGTTAGAATAATTGATTAATCGATTAGAAAATAATCGTTTGGTACAGAACTATATCTCTCTCACACACACACACACACACACACACACACACACACACACACACACA